CACTAGGGGAGCACCCACAGGTAACAATGCATGTATTTTGCCAACTCTGTGAGTGAAAAATATATTTTAAAACAGAGCAAGAGTCTTTTACTCTCCTTAATCCATCATTTCTGGTTTGTTTTTTAGTTAGATTAAAATTCCTTTTCTTTTTTTTCCCTCCATCTTCTAAATGAAAACCTACAGCAATTACTACTTTAGTTTATCTATCAACATCAGGATTCTACTGTGCTTATCTTAAAGCTGGGTAGATTACCTAAAGTCTTAAATTCTTGCAGTAGTGTCTTTTGTCTAATATGCTAACACTTCTACCAAAAATTACAATGGCATCCCAAGTATTCATGGTTAATAGGACTTTGAAGTGTAACATTGCATAGTTTACAGAGGAACTTACTAAAGTGATAAGTTAAGTTACTCAGTTTTAAAATACATAGGTTGACTCTTTAAGCTTATGTAGACAGATGGACAAAAAGAACCACAAAGAGAAATGGATAGCAAAATTGAGGAAATGATAATAAAATCACTTGCAGAACCCCTAAGGGGTATAAAAATGCTGAAACCCTGATGATAGCTGTGGCAGGAATGTCTCTGCAGGCAATAAACAGAAGATAAGAAGACTGGCTCACAAGGGCAGAGGAAGTTCTCAGAGTTCTGGTGAGGGAGGAGACCCCACAGACCTGCTTACCCAGCCGCTGAGTGCACTGCCAGAGAGCTGAGGGAGCCGCTAACACGGCAGAGCTAGACTTGCCCGTTTCTGAACATGGAGGCTACCCCAGTGCCAAGACTGACCGCTTGGTGTTTACAGCAGGTGAACACTGCTGAAAGTAAAGAATCCTAGCACTAAAAAAATGGAATGGAATGGTTCTTTTGGAATGGACCTACAACAATCTAGTCCAACTGCCTGACCAGTTTAGGGCTGAACATAAGTTAAAGCATGTTATTAAGAGCATTGACCAAATGCCTCTTAAACACTGAAAGACTTGGTGCATTGACCACCTCTCTAGGAAGCCTGTTCCAGTGTTTGACCACTCACTTGGCTAAAGAAATGTTTTATAATGTCCAATCTAAACCTTCCCTGGTGCAGTTTTGAATCATACCCATGTGTGCTATTGCTGGATCCCAGGGATACAAGATCAGCACCTCCATCTCCACTTGCCCTCCTCAGGAAGCTGTAGAGAGCAATGAGGCCACCACGCAGCCTTTCTTTTTCTTTTTTTTTTTTTTTTTTTTTCCCAAAAATTATGCAAGGTCAAAGTTCTTAGCCACTCCTCATAGAATATACCTTCCAGCCCTTTCACCAGCATTATTGCCCTTCTCTGGATGCATTCAAGGACCTTTAGCATCCTTAAATCATAGGGCTCAGAACTGAACAGAGTACTGATGGGGAGGCCACAGCAATGCTGAATACAGTGGGATAATCACCAGCCTTGACTGGTTGATTATATTGTGTTTGATGTACCCCAGGATGTAGTTTTCCTTCGTGGCTACCAGTGCACACTGCTGACTCATATTGAACCTTCTGTCAACTAGCACCCCTAATCCCTTTCTGCAGGGCTGCTCTCCAGCTGCTCTTCTCTACATTTGCATGTGTGCACAGCATGACTCCATCCTAAGTGCAAAATTGGCATTTCAATTTGTTAAATTTGATCCAATTAATCAATATCTAATGCTCCATCAGATGGCATGTCCAGGACAAGCAGTTGATAAGGCTCAGTCAGCACAGGTTTATGAAAGGTGGATCTTGCTTGACTAAGCTGATCTTCCATGACAAGGTGACTCTTCTTAGTGGATGAGGAAAGGCTGTGGATATTGTTTATCTGGACTTCACGAAAGCTTTAGACACTATTTCCCACAGCATTTAAACTGGCTGCTCATGGCTTGGACAGGTGTACTCTTCACTAGGTAAAAAAATCTGGCTGGATGGCTGGGCCCAAAAAGTGGTGGTGAATGGATTTAAATCCAGTTGCTTAAATCCAGTCACTGGATGGTCACAAGTGGTGCTCCCTAGAGCTCAGTACTGGAGCCAGTTCAGTTGAATATCTTAATCACTGGTCTGCATGAAGGGACCAAGTGCAACCTTACTATATCTGCAGAGGACACCAAGCTGGGCAGGAGTGTTGATCTGCAGGAGGGTAGGAAGGCTTTACAAGAGGGGATCTGGATAGCCCAAATTGATGGATAGAAGCCAATGGGATGGAGTTCAACAAGGCCATGTACCAGGCCCTGCACTTGGCTCGTAACAATGCCCTGCAGTGCTACAGGCTCGGGGAAGAGTGGCTGGAAAGCTGCCTGCTGGAAAAGGACCTGGGGATGTTGGTCAACAGCTGACTGAACATGAGCCAGCAGTGTGCCCAGGTGGCCAAGAAGGCAAACAGCACTCTGGCTTTTATCAGAGATGGTGTGGCCAGCAGGAGTAGGGAAGTGATCATCCCCCATACTTGTCACTGGTGAGGCTTAAGCAACAGGGTCTGAGCTTTTGACATTTAAAAACCCTGGAGTCCATCAGAAGAGCTTCCAGACAGGCTGCAAACCACAACTACTTTTACCAAGAAAGACAAAAAACTGTACTTCTACTAGGGCAGTAGAATGCATCAAAACAAAGTTTTTAGATGAATATGAGCTAAAACCTCTAACTTCTGCTATGCAACATGGTATTTTTTCCTTTATTTTGAAATAACACTGCTGAGAGAATAGTTGCCCACCAGGCTGAACTATCATCTGATCTTCAGATGAAGATCCCAGCATGAACTAGTAAGTACAGAGCATTAGAAAATTGTGAGGTGTTTGTTGTTTGTTCCCATGCCTTTTAATTCTATCAAAATGCATGGGGTTTTCACAGAGCTGTTGAAATGCTTACAAGGAGTTCTAGGTGAATTCCATGTGCGCAAAATGCAGCAGACACAACAAGCTTGAGTCTGTATTCTCCTTCTGCTCCTTCCTCCATCTCATTCTGTTAAATAGAGTTGAGTGGGGTTGCTTACAACAGTCCAAGAAATAAGATTTTCAGTTGCTCTTAAAGTGTTAACTCCAAACTCCCAATGAAATGTAAATATTGTGTGCTTCTTTTCAAACCATAAAAAGAAGGATGATGTTATTATAAAGCTGTGTACCAGTCTGCTGTGATTAACAGTTCATCATTAGGTCCAAGACAGGTGGAGCCTAATTTACAAGCAAGGTTTGCGTGAGACTCAAGGTCTACATTCTTCCCTGTTTGACTTGTGCAGGGCACGGTCTCCAAAAAAACCCCAACCATCAAAAGAATAAAAGCACAAACAGTCCCTTGGCACAACTAATTTTCAAGATTTATTTATAATACTTGTGCACAGTAAAGGCAAACAATTCAGCATTTTGTTTGTAATGAAGATCTGATCTATAAAACAACTGGACTGATACTGTGCAAGCATATTGTATACCTTTTGCATAGGAATAAGGTCTGAACTTTGGTGATCACAGACTGGGGGTTAACAACTGAACTGTGAAGCGATATTTTAAAGAAAATAGGTTAAATCTTACATTTAAAAAGTTGCTTTACTGAATAAAACAATAACGTAAATTCATTTGGCGTTGTGTTAGAACATATTTGTAAAACTTCAACTGTAATGAGGAATTCCTTTGAGAACCAGTGGCTGAACTGAATACTTATCATAATATCTTATATATTCTATGTCTTTATTCATTGCTGAAAGCAGTACAGATGAAATTCCATTCTACTCATTTTCATATAGCGAAAAAAAAAAAAAACACAGAAGAATTACACAATTACTGGGAAAAAAATTTGAAACTAAAATAGATTAATTCTCAGAGAAATGAGAAGAATAGTCTGTCTGAAAACTGTCTTAAATGCAACACTGTATCACTATAAATATATGCCGCAACATGGAAGGTGGTATGAAATAAGTCTATTTTTTATGCAGCTTCGCAGTAAAGAAGCACCTATTAAGCATGGCAAATGGTTTTGTAATAAACAGCTGTGATTTCACGTAGGAAACCGAGTTTTCCCATGATCTGGGTGCAGGAACAGTATCTTAATACACACAAACTCTTCCTTTCTAGCAGGAAGACTGAAAACACTTGATGGAAGGATTCAAAGAACTAAGATTACAATATTAGTTTTGGGTTTTTTCCCCAGAATCAATTACTGACTGCATTACCAGTATTTAACCATAAACTTTCTCAGCATACAAGAGGCAAAACTGTTTTCATAATTACCTAATTAGTCTACCATCATTCATTGAGTGCACAGTGAAGTACTGTGGTACTTCATAATAGAAACCCAAAGCTCTATTGACTGTGCAGTTTGAAAAAAAAGTTTTCAGATACTTTTTAATCAAGTAAATGTGGGTAGAGACCAACTTCTATAAATATGTGTGTTTAAATTTGCAGCTTGGACTTTGTATAACAAAGTTTTGCAATATAAACAGAAAAGTTGCTATGAAATTATTCATATTATCATAATAAAAAAAAAATTCAAACAACTCTGCTCATGATTAAAGATTGGTCCTTATTGATACACATGAAAGTAACCATCCAAGGAATACTGACACATTACTCTTACAACTGAAGATTGTAACTATATAGAATAGATGTTAAGCAAACAATCTGACTTAACAACAGCGTTACAAGAGAAAACAGCAGCCACTGTATTTTGGGGAAAAAAACCCATAAAGTGTATGAAACAGTTGCTATTGCGGATGTGCCAACGGTTTGTCCAAATTAACAGGAAGTTTACATTCTGTTAGGGGTTACAAAAGAGTTACTGTTCATAGTTGTTAAACAGAACAAACCAAAACAACTCGATAGAAGTTACCCAAGCCCGCAGCATTTAGGTTAACACAGAAAATGATCTGACATGCATACATCCCATCAAGTTCTATGAACTATTTCTAGTTTTGTGTAGAAAAGTGGATCTGAAGCAGCAGTTTAGCAAGAAGTGAAAGACAGGCACATAAAAGAGAACTTATGCAACACACAAGATTTCTAGACTCTCACGGGAATTCATAAAGTTTCTGCAAGATGGAGATTTATTGCCCATTTACACAGAAAAAAACAGTAATTACAAGACAAATATATTAATTAAACATACAAGCTCTGGAATTGTACAAAGATACTAATTTCTTGTGGTTGAGATGCATTGATAAAAACAGTACTGGCTGAAGGGACCTTTGCACAGATGCAATGTCACCCCCTGCAGTTACAAGGGGACGTGACTGAAGAGGTAAGACACAGATTCACCATTGTGTGTTCTTCGAATCGCCTCAGCCAGGATCATGGAAATGTCAATAAACTGAAAGAAAAATCAAGAAGGTAATTTTATGAGATGCCAAGAATTATATGCAGTTTATGAACACATGAGCAAACTCAATTTACTGGTGTGCTCGCTTACTTCTTCTAGGAGGTAAAATAACATTAAAGCATTAGGCACTTAACATTTATATAAGAATTGCATCCATACAAAATACAAACTGAAAAATTCAGTAAGAAAGCGTAAGATTGCTGCACAGGCATACTGTTGAAGACTGCTGGCGCCGGGCATGCTGTCAAAATAAACTATTCTAGCCATCAGATGGCAGTGTCCACTTGACACAAACACAGTTTAAGGGAGGTATACCTTTTAAGTGCTTGCCTTGTTTCAATAAATACCAAATAAATGTTAGGCTTTTAAAAAATTTCAATGTTGTCTTAAAAAAAACCCTCAATCTTTTATGCTTTCCTCTGTATTAAGGAAAAACTCCAAAAAGGGACAGATGATGTCCCAGAAAAATGTCATGTAAAAGCTACTGACATAAGTCAACTTTGTATTTTCAGTTTTGTTTTTGAAAAGAAACTTTTATTATTGTTACCATGAGAATTTTCATTACTGTATTTTTTTCTTAAAAGTCACCTAGATTTTCTGTGGCATCCCTTAAATCAGTTCATTGGCATGTTTGAGCAAGATGTTCCACAAACAATATATTTTAGAATATTATTTTCCCCTCAAAGCACAAATTCTAACATAAGTGAACAGAAAAATACAAATCCAGAGTTTAAACAGGTAACATAAAACCACCAGTGTACCTGAATTTTTGGGCAGTGTTTCATTTTCTCTTCTTGGGGGATTGTATTAGTGACCACTACAGCCTCAAATGATGCATTATTAATCCGAGAAATAGCAGGACCAGAGAAGATGCCATGAGTAAGAATGGCATAAACTTTAGTAGCTCCAGCAGATACTAACCTGTAGAACATGAAGGAAAATTATGCTGTGATCATTTTTACATATATGGCTATAGATGAAGCCAGATACAAATCTCTGTAAAGTGCATTTTACACACAACTTTCTCTTGGAAGATACAAATAACTACAAAGTAATTAAGAGAATTTAAAAATTTTTCAGGTTATACAAATCAGTCTGACAAAAAACCCCAACAACTAATTGCCAATTAATGTTCTTATCAGTAGCAGTGATACTAATCTAAAATGCTGCACTTTTGACCGTATCAGCACATAGAACTGAATGTCAGTACAAGTTTTCTAGCTTAATTAGGCAAAAATGAAGTAGGTTGGATGGCAATATTCACAACTTGTTATTGCACACCTTTATTTTCATTTGCAATTCAAACAATTCTGCTTGGAAAGTGTTTCTGAAGAAGAAGAAACGTTGAGTTTACTGCAAGGCTGTGAGAAGACATGCTGCTGACCCAACCAAGCAGTGAAATGATGCAGCATGGGAGAAAATTAAAAACAAGCTATAAATTGAAAATTTCTGATGGTGTTAGAACTTGTTCAATAGAAGTCTACTATAGGTAGATAAAGTGCTTCTTTCATAAGAGGAAAGAAATAAAGGCCTCCTTTTTGAAAGGAACTAAACTTCTTCCATGCACAGTAGTATAAAACCAAGAATCATTGGCTAGGCAATTTGTGATTTTGGCCTGCAAATCGCACAGCCCAGCAGCAGGCTTTGGGATCTGATGCAGAGTAGTAGGAGTATAGCAAACAGCAGCACAACATCTCTTTGCAAAGTTCCATCATAGTGAAAAGAAGCACAAGGCCATGTGAATCGTTCTGAGTTTCTGACATCCTTTTTGTCTAGATGCAAACAGCAAGCATGCAGCTGAAGACTGTAAACTCATGGAATGACCTTTACTTCAGACCACCCGTCTAGCTCGCTTAAGCGTCACCCTGCTGTTTTGACGCTGTTTCCAACAGCATTCTCCTGGAGAAACTGGCTGCTCATGGCTCAGACAGGTGTACTCTTCACTGGGTAAAAAACTAGCAGGATGACTGGGCCCAAAGAGTGGTGGTGAATGGATTTAAATCCAGTTGTCAGCTGGTCACAAGTGGTGCTCCCCAGGGCTCTGGGGCCATTTCTGTTGAATATCTTAATCACTGACCTGGATGAAGGGACCAAGTGCAGCCTTATTACGTTTGCAGATGACACCAATCTGGGCAGGAGTGTTGATCTGCAGGAGGGTAGGAAGGCTTTACAAGAGGGGATCTGGATAGCCTAGATTGATGGATAGAAGTCAATGGGATGGGGTTCAACAAGGCCATGTACCAGGCCCTGCACTCGGCTCATAACGATGCCCTGCAGTGCTACAGGCTCAGGGAAGAGTGGCTGGAAAGCTGCCTGCTGGAAAAGGACCTGGGGATGTTGGTCAACAGCTGACTGAACATGAGCCAGCAGTGTGCCCAGGTGGCCAAGAAGGCAAACAGCATCCTGGCTTGTACCAGAAATTTTGTAGCCAGAAGGACTAGGGAAGTGATCGTCTCCCTGCACTTGGTACTGGTGAGGCTGCACCTCAGACACAGGATTCAGTTTTGGTCCTCTTACTACAAGAAAGACGTTGAAGTGCTGACAGTTTTCCAAAGAAGGGCAAGGAAGCTGGTAAAGGGCCTGGAGAACAAGAAGTTGCTGAGAGAACTGGAGTTGTTTAGTTTGGAGAAAAGGAGGCTCAGGAAGACCTTAATGCTTTCTACAACTGATAGGAAGTTGCATCAAACTGGGGGGGGCAGTCTGTTCTCACAAATAAAAAGTGATAGGGTAAAAGGAAATGGCCTCAAAACGCACCAGCGGAGGTTTAGGTTGGATATCAGGAAAAATTTCTTCACCAGAAGGGCTGTCAATCACTGGAACAGGCTGCCCACAGAAGTGGCGGAATAATCATCCCTAGTGGTACTTAAAAGACACGTAGATGTGATGTTTGGGGAGATGATTTACTGCTGGACTTGACAGTGCTGGCCTAAAGGTTGCACTTGAGGATCTTAAAGCTCTTTGCCAACCTAAATGACTCTATGATTCAAATAGAGTCAGGAAGAAAGAACAACATGGATCTCTCTTGGATGCAAGACTATTCAATACTCACAGTGTCTGCAAATACATTGGACAGGAATATAAATTCAAAATGCTCTCAACAGACACTAGCTTTAGCAAGGATTACATCCAAGAGGAGCAATGCTACAGTAAATAGTCAGCAACACCAATTTAAAACATTCTTGTGTCTTGCTCCTCAGTAGTTCTTTTCCACTTCCAGTATGCACTTTTTACAGTCATAAGGGATTGGGATTTGATATAAACTATACGAGATCTTAGAATGGAAGATTTAAAGACTCAAGACTATAGCCAAGTTTAGATTGTAGCCCTTAACCTTCCCAGCTAAAGCTGGTAGCACGTTTGGATATGAGTGGAGGCGGAAGCACTTTAGTCTGCTGTTGCTCTGCTGTAATACCTTACGTTTGTTCTTAATGAATTTCAGTCAGTTTCTCCAATTTGTGAAGATAAAGTCAGCTGGAAAAACATAAAGTAATCTTTTTTTACTTAGCACTGCTAGGTTCTCCATTAAGATAGTGGGTCTATATTCAAACGCTCCACTTCAAGATGTGGACTAACTGGAAAGAATCCAGAGGGCAGCAAGAACAGAACACAAGTTTAGAAAGCATACAAAAGACTAGATGAACTGAAGTTACTTAGTCGAGAGGGGAATGAAAACACTCTTCAACTAACTTCCACACAAAAGACAGGAAAACGTCCCCAGATGAAAAGGACAAGAAGTTTTACACTGAAAATTAATATTAAACACACACTGTAAGAGGGGAATGCATTCTGTCCCCAGTGGTCATCCAGTAAAGCTTTGTGAAAGATTGCCTAAGGAGAGTGGAAAGGCTCCGTGCTAAGATTTAAGAGAATGATTTTTCATTACTTCTGCCTTGGAACTGAAAAATGCACTAGATGGCCCGCCCAAGTTATATGACTATTTTTTCTGTCTTCTTTCTAAATACAATACATTTCTGTAAATGTTTTCTCAGTTGCACATTCTAAAGAAAGACACAGCTTGAGCTGCATGTTAAATACAGCGAGACAGTGGGCCAGTCCATAATAACACTTACTTGTCTGCTGCATGACATATCGTGCCACAAGTGTCAGCCATATCATCGACAAGAATTGCTACTCTGTCTTTCACATCACCAACCAAGACCATTCTGTCCACTTCATTTGCCTTCTTTCTTTCCTTATGAATGAGAGCAAATTCCACATTCAGTCTGTCAGCAATTGAAGTGACCCTACATTACAGGAAGAAATACACCAGAATTATAAAATTATTTTAAAAGAAAGAACAGAGCCATACATGTGTACATGTTATAAAACACAGATTTTATGTTTTCTGTCTTTCTAATTATTGCAGCACAAAGTTTTGCAAGTAATGAGACAGGTTAGAAATTATCTTAATTCACTGCTCATAAATACAACCTGGAGTCTTTAAGTGATACTCCAGTAACAGATTTTTTAAATTATTATTTAACTGACTTTTGTTTTCTGGCTTTTTAAACATTTCAGCTGTTCACAAGCTTTCATTAAGCTGCTGCAACACCTACTCACACTGGCTAATTTAAAGTAGAGGCAGCCTCAACTCTAAGTCTGCAGCAGTGTGAACTTTAGCATTCTAAATGAAAATACCAATGCAGGAACAAGAAACCAAACCAAAAAACCCCAAACAGGTTAATAGAGTAATAATTCTTTTACTAGTAATTGAGTAGTAGTCAAGTAGCTTACTTCATCAGTAATTCCCTCAGCAATACAGCTGCTTGACAAAGATCTTTTAAAGCTATTCAGAGTGACCTCTGGTGGCAAGAAAAACTTCCAATAACAAACAATTTTTTACAGACTTTGGACTGATTTTTGCAGGTGTGTATATATACGTACATCTACACACATGTATACCAGAGCTGATGTATATATAGAGACACAGGAACAAAGAACACTATGCTTTGTCTATGCTGGTGCAACCTTATAGCCTGTCCTTTTCAGCTACGTTTAGAATGTTAACAAAGTTATTAACATGTACAGTTAATAGTATAGTTTTGCTTCATTATCACCTAAATATGAAGTTGTTAGTTACTGTATTTCAACAACAGGGTGATAAAGAGAAGAGCTGAGTGTTTTGGCATTTTTTGTGAACAATAGTCTAATTTCATAGCAAGTCTCCCTATTTCAGAGGCATTAAGATAACAATAGAATTTTCATGCCTTATTTCAGTCATAAAATTTAGTAAGCTGGGAAAAAAGACAAAGCAAACAGTAAGGAAAAAAAAAGAATTCAGATATTTTAAATGAGTGCAATTTATTTTTTTAGATTTCTTTAACGCTTACAGATTTAAATTTTAATACAAGCTGTCGTCACATTCAATTCACTTTACATTAACCCAAGTATTATTTTGATGGTCTACGTGTTTTAAATGCAAAGGTCAAACCATTTTCTTTACATTATGTTACTGGAGGTGAATGAGAAGCTGTGAATTTATTGAAAGCAACATCTTTCCGTACTTTACCAGCAACTACCTGGTTGCATTACAACAGGAAGGTACTAAAGATAGACTCTGTCTAGTGAGACTAGTCCTCAGTCTAAACAGAAACAAATATGGAGCTTTAATCAGTTTTATCTCCCTATTAATTATCACAACATGAACAGTCACAACAGACCCAAGGACTTCAATTAAAACTAAACTATGACTGTCTTTCACATTTTTCCCCATACAACATTCCAAACTTTTAAACTGCTGTGGCCTTACAGGATTCTTACTTCTTTTACCCAATAAAACATGAGATACAGCGGGAATGCAACAACATAAAGAAAAAAGGAACACAACCCAAGCAAGCTCTTACCTAAATGCCAGTAGGTACAGTGGGGATAGGCCATATGCTTTGACAGAGGAGGGAAACTTAGGCAATTCCAGAGTGAAGAAGGCAGGAAGAGGTGCAGCAACTGGACTAAAGAAGCAAGCAGCAGGAAAAATCCCTTCCCTCCTGCAGAGGGATTCAGCTAATGAGGCCGTATCCAGGGAGAGAGAAGAAGATTTTCTTTAGAGTATAGAAAGCTCCTGGACGTTTTCAAGCATGAATGACAGTGGAAGAATTAGTTGTTCTGTTTTTACAATGCAGTTGGATTCATCAGTGATGTACCCTATATCTTGCACAATCTACAGGGGAAAAAAGAGTAAGGAAACTAGTCCATTAACCGCTAACTACATGGCACACTAATAGTTTTAGGGTTGTATAGTACCTTTTTGCACCACCTGCATCAGGTGAGACTATGATACAGTTTCTCCACTCCAAAATGTTCTCTTTAATCCACTGCAGCACTGCAGGTTCTGCATACAGGTTATCTACTGGAATGTCAAAGAAACCCTAGTTTGAAAGAGAAAAAGAGTTTCATGATTTTTATGTCTCACCTGGAATGAAAACACAGGGAAAGAATCAAGTCTTTGCCTTTCATGTATGGCAGAACTTGAATTAATATTTTACACTGGCTTAATTCTGCCCTCTGATAATACTATCAAATGCATCAGAAAGAAAAATATTAAAGTCTCAAAATCTCACCCAAGAGTAGTGAAATAAAGAACAGCTGTTCTCAAATGATATAAAAATCTGAAGACTACCTTCAGACACCCAAAAAAAAAGTTTGTTTGTGAAAAGCTCTCAAAAAAAAAATCCAGAGAGTAATACTCAACTTCCATAAATTTCAGCTGCTTGATAGGAACATTAGTATTTTAATTCAGGGAAGAATCAAGTTAGTATTACTTGTGCAGAAGAAAGAGAGTATTTGTTAGAAACAGAATCTGTGTCAGACCACAATCAAACTGATTTTTATTTGAATGACAGCCATCTAGCATAATAGTATATTTTGATTAACCAGAATCCCAGAACTGGAAGAGAAGGTATTTTCTAGAAGAAAACAAGGTATCTTGAAAAGATGTACCCATGAGAATGACAAATGATGCTCTGTGTCTGAGAAAAATTTTGTGATCTGCTGGATTTAGCAGTAAGCCAGCTACTGGCTTCCAGCCTCCATCTGCACTTCTCCTAAGAGAATATTATCCCCTTGGCTGTAACAAAAAACCCTCTGTCTGGGGCAGTACTACAGTCTCTGATCACTCCCAGATTCAGAGAACCTGCTCCAAACCAGTATATATTTTATGTTCTGGGAGCTCTTACACTAAGCTTGACAAATTCTGCTCAAGACACCAATGTACAAGTATTGGAAGTGCCTGCAAGATCACCCCGTAAAATCAAGGCTGATCTCTTTCAAAGAGGGAATTTAACTAGAAACAGGTAGTTCCTTTGAATGCTAAGAAATACACTTCTGTAATTCAAAACAGTGAGATAGAACAGAGAATTAATATTAACTTTTCAGATGATTTCAGTAGAGCCCCTAGCCACAGTGAGTAAGAACTGACAGTTACCTGGATCTGAGAAGCGTGCAAGTCCATGGTGATGATGTGGTCAGCCCCTGCAACTGACAGCATGTTGGCAACAAGTTTTGCAGAGATTGGAGCACGACTCTGAGGAATAAAGCACAGATGTTTAAATATAAAAAGATTTTGACTAGATGCAAGGAGTCAAATAATTAGCTATTTGTATTGATTTTTTTCCTTTAGAATATTTGGAATCTAGATATCAAAAGCTCCGGAACTTTAGCCAAACTAGCCTGTCAATAGCTAATCTTGCTATTTTTTTGAAACTCAGCAAAACATTTAGAAATATCTAAACCAGCCTGCACAATCTAACAATGCTTTGTAGTAGACTGACTAAGAAGCAGATAAAATTTGGGATATAATTTTCCAATTCTTCTTCTATTTAAAACTTTCAGCAAGCTTTCCTACCACAGAGAGGCAGACAACCGCTATTCCTCTATGCCACTACCCTGCATTAACATCCAACTCTCAAGCAACCATCCTGCCCTAACACTGCCAAAAACAAAGACTGAAGGCAGGGTGAACCAAATTTTTGAAAACACTGCTTTAAAACAAAGTTAGTATTAAGTATTTCTTCACAATACAGTACAGCTTCTAACACATCCACGCTGGCAGGGGTCTTCTACCCTTGCCTGTGTCTTTATTCTTTTTTGCTAATTCAGGCTTAATCATCGAATGTCATTAGGAGTCTAGAATTCCCAAAAGGGACAGGAGGGATGAAAAACCCCAAACCACAGAGAAGTGGAAAGAACAAAAGAAGAGAAAAATCTAATTACCACAGTTAATACTAATGTCAAGAGCTTTTTAAAAGTGACAAGGATGCAGAACAAACAGCAACATTAAAAAAAAGAGAAGATGGAAAATCATGACTGGAGGATACCTCACTGCTTTTTTTGAGTAACTCCATGGATTTTTCAGATATTTTTTAAGCTCTGAAAGAAGCTGTTGCCCTCAGCAACTTTTTGTGTAACGGAAATACTAACAAAGCTTCCTATTTTCTTTTTACGAGTCTTTAAATAAGGTTAATAACTAGCAATAACATTAGCATGAAGGCAGAATTGCAATTCAGAGGTTCCACCTCACTGTCATGCTGTTTGTTTTTTTTTTTTTTTTTTCTGGTATACTATTTCTTCCTGCTACATCTCTCTATCAAACAGTCTCCTTTAGCCTCCTAGGAACCCACCCTCTTTCCACCCCATAGGCAGAATTATGTAATATCTCTACTCTGCTTCCACTGATGTTCAAGTGCAAAACCTAAAATAAGCTGAACCACTGCCAATTTAACCTGGATGCTTTTCTGTGTCATATCAAGGAGCCAGTGTTTTCCTCAAAACTTTTGCTCCTTTATGTGGAAACACGTCATTTCTGTTTGCAGAGAAGAAATGCAGATGTTACAGTCTTTCTTATGGCTGGATCAAGTTTATTATCATCGTTATTACAGAAATTCTTCATTTTGAAAATAATTCCTTTTGGTATTTTGTGTTTCACAGAACATCACTGCCATTTGGTCTGTGTAAGATACACAGAAGGTATCTTCTAGCACTACCCTAAGCTTCTGCAATTGAGATACACGTAGCTTCCAGAAGAGTTTGCTATAATTAGTGCTTCAGCACGGATGTTTTCCAGTTACTGAGGACTACACTGCTCATCATTTAAGTTCAGTACTTAAAGGTCTAAGGTATCTAAAGCTTTCTGGATACTTCCATTATTAGTAGTAAACTTGTAGTTCATGCTATTCAAATTCCTGATCACTTCAGTATCTCAGCAGTACAAACTGACATTTAAGCTGGGCTTCAAAATATTCTCGAATCTTTGGCAACCTTCAATAAAACAAGATTAATCTTATACTCTTTTGACCCTACCACAGTGTTCTCTTACCAGCTCTTTGCAAAGACCTGGTCACATGTCACAGCTAGCCTGGACTAACAGGTGATGCTGAAAACAGAGGGTCTTCTCTTCTTGTCCTATCCCTTACTGCCTCGCTATACACTTCCACCACTTTTCTTGCGCTGCACAACGGGATTTGCCTGAACCCACAGCAGTCAGATGAGGCTCTGGTAGAAACAAACAACTAGTTCAAGCTAGCTGCCAAAGGCAAACTACATTCTTCCCAGAATGTGATTTGCCATTTCTACTCCATCAAACACACTGAATGTTGCTTTTTTAAATTTCCATTTCTGGTCAGTGTGAGTACCACGTAGCTTGTCTTAGCTTGTTGTGTTGGTATCATGAGCATCACCATGACAAAAAAAAACCCAACAAAATATTCTCCTGCATCAAATACTAATGTATACGTTACCAGTTGGTACTTCTTTCAGCTGCTGGCCTTCCAGGCTGCCTTCCCAGAAAGAAAAATTTGGAGGTTTTACCACTAAGGAACTTGTTTTAGCAGAGATGCACACTCCACAGATTGCCTATGTACTGGTGGACAGAGGGTCTCAGAAGGAAAGATAGCCAGGCACCAATACCTGTTTCTCAAGAATGGGCTAACAGCAGATTAAGACAAATGAAGTTTGCAGCTATCTGACAGTTTCCTTTACACAAAATTGTGTATTAAAAGAAAACGCAGGACATGTTCAAAAGGATTTAAGGTTTGATTGCTTGCATAGAAAGTAAGCTTTGTGCTATAACGTGATCAAAATGGAAGATTATTTTAAAATCAAAGGAACTATATTCATGGGAACCTCAGGTAGCCTGGCCTCATTACTCAGAAGCTTGGATGACAAAAGTAGATGCGAACTCAAGATTTTCTTTATCTTGTTTGATTTTTTAAGGTTTGCTTCTGATCAGAGAGGCACAAACACAAACAGAATCACAGTATTCAATGCTCCGTTTTTTGACACAATTTGAGATTAGTTTCAGAATCATTAGTGTGAAATGGCAGCATTACATTATATATAGAAACTCAATTGTAAAAAAAAAAAAAATAAAATCACTGAGTTTTTAGTTCATAAGCAAAATCCTCACTTATGTATTACAAGTTATATAAATTATTTCTTCCATCGTGATGCATTACAAATTTATTCACAGTTCTTAAAATTACCAGGGGCAGAAGGGAATCCACAAAGCTAATACAAACAACCTCAAAAGAGTAACTATGCAAAGGACATACAGCTAAAAGTAAGAGGCATCCATCAAGATTAAAGCTCTGTTGCCTTTAAGCATCTTATTAAATTACCTTGCTCAAAATGCATCACATGCATATTGAACAAAAAAAAAAAAAAAATAATTAAAAAATCCAAGAAACCCCAAAGCTATATAACTGGAACTTTCACTTCCAAGAAAGCCAGTTGTGAAGTGTCCAGATACTGAATATTCACTAACACAGTACCTAAATTTATCACCTCAAATATGAGATATGCTTTGAAGCTTCAGAATTTGACAGCCATTATCTTGAATGTCCAGATAAATTTTTAACTAGAAGCTAGGAGTTTTCTAGCAGCAAATTATTCCACAAGATTACTGTCATGGCCTAGGTGAAACACAACTGAAATCATGAAGTGAAACTGAAAATGTTCGCAGTTATACATAATGGAACCCAGTAAGTTTCACCCTGTAAGGCCATATTAATGGAAATACATAGTGTTAGATTAAAAAAAAAAAACAAAAACAAAAACAAAAAAAGATACCTACCCAACGCTCCACGGACCCCTTCTACAAATCAAAAAAACAAAGTTACATGAGCTGTAGAATACCAAACTCACCTATCACTCTACTTCTAACTTCTCTCAAAGGCATCTCTGCAGCATCCTACATAAGCATGTCCTGCCTGTGGCTTGGAAGTTCAGCACAGAGTATGCATAAATGCAACTACAGCCAAAGCATTGGTACACTTGAGCTAATTTCATGAGCTAGCTCTTGTATCAGAAATATACTAGATGATGGCAGTGCTTGACTGCATCTACATTAATTCACCAACTTTTCTATGAATCTCAGCAAGCCTTTTTTTCTTTTTAAACTTTTGTTTCTCATTTAAAGCTAGTCCAGGTCTAATGCTAAAATTTCCAGATTACAGAGGCCTTGTTTGTAATATGATTTTTTTACTGCAAAGCTCTTTCCTGAAATAATCAAGAGCACTTTCATCATTCTCAGTGATCGTAATTGCAGCAAAGGCATGAAGAATACAGGTTATTTCAAGCAGCAAGGATTCAGTCTATTTAGTTCTTTATGGATTGAAGTCAACAACTTAAATTCAAACCAGAAAACAGCATCCAGCTAGTGAATATTATACTGCTTCAGTTCATAGTCAAGCAAACTACAGCAATATCTTTCACCAGAAAGAAGAAAATCAACATAGGAAGAAAATGGCTGGCATTTTACTGACACTTCAGTCAGCATACGAAGCTTGTGCACTCAACATGGGTCAAAGACCAAGTGATGTGATGAAATCCAAAAGTAGCAGGAAAGATCTCCCTGTCAATAAGCTGCCCAATGTTGACAGCTATATTATAGCTTATTTTGCAACATGGAGGTCAACTACCAAGGTTAATTTCCAAAGATTGCAAACATTTTCTCAATTGCAAAATAGAGGTTAAAAAAAAAAAAAAAAGAAATGGCTTGCCTAGAATTGCAGCAGAGCTCAGTGGCACCCCAAGAACAGTCTGGAACAATGCTCAAAATATCTGTTAATCAAAGTTACTTTCCTACACTATTCATCTTCAGGTGGCACTTCCAAAAGACAAAATGCTCCTGGGTGGCATGCTGGGCCACCATACTGTGGGTTTTAATCATCTTCTGGAAGTCTGCCACATGGATTTTGGGTATCCTTGACATGGCGTAACCTACATGCATGGGAAACTTGGGACAAACTCATCCTTTTCCTACCCCAAAAACTTACACGTGGTCCAACAGAATCTTCCAATACGAATTTGGAGACCAAAATATAGCGAGATGCTTTCCTTCCCTTTCCACAAAATGTTTAGCACGTCCCTTTCCAGCTCTTTTGATGGAAATATTTCAGCCCTCCTGACTAGGGGAGAGCATTATTCAGTACAAAACAAAAATCAAATTCCAAAAGATGTAGGCAAAGAATAGGGAGCTACTATCTGACTCCTGAATTCTGTTTTTGGAAGCGTAACAAGTAGGTCTTGATAATATTAGTGACAGCTAAAGAAATAGAGAATTTTAGAGAGTCTACATTTAAAAAATGAGTACACTGGAAAAATAACTTTTCTATATTTAGTTTTGTTCTCAGGTATCACAGGCTGAGCATTACATATTTTGTAATATCTGCTAATAGTGTTAGCTCCTACATTATTCCCAGTCCTGTTATATTCCATATAAAAGAATGTAAAGAACAACAGAAGGCTTTCAGGATAGTTTGCTTGATGACAAAAGTGAAAGGGAAGGGACAGTGCATTTATAGGAAGCATTACAGAGCGACAATTTCCCTAAAAGACAACCCTTGCAACCCAATCTTAAAAGCCAAATTCACATTTATCTTTATTAGTTCTTTTCAAGTGAGTTTACATCAAAGTAACATTCACATAACATTGTAGAGGTTTTTTGTATGTCTAGTAGAAATAGGAAAGTTTAGTTTTGCATTTCTTAAAATTAAACTCACTTGCCACAGAGTTTACTACTGTGTTATCAACTTGGCTGAACTGGTATATTCATCAGTTATGGCCAACCAAATTCAGGAAAAGGGCCCTACGATATGAAGAGTATTTATGGAGTTCCCTACAATTTTTTTTGCCTGCATTAACAAAAATAATTATTATAGATGTGAATTAAAATTTTACCTGCCTTCTATCATTAAACAATGTTTTTGTTATTTACTGTTATGCATTTCAGACTTAATCAGTTCCTTCCATTTGGCTCTGTTTAACCATACAGGGTAAAACCCCGCTAAATAATGGCTACAGCAGTTCAAATTCAGGATTTAATTCCAAACAATTAAAATATTTAAAAGGGTGTACTCTCTTCCTGTAGAGAGGTTAAAAATAAATAAATCTAGAAGCAGGAAAAACAGTACCATCAGGTGAAGTTTGCTAGCAGAGTACTCTGCAAGATACCACACACATAGGATACACCTATTTTTTTCACAGTGAAGTAGTGTCAATTATCAAAACACAAGCAAAAAAAAAGTTTATTTTCTTACTTCTTTGACCTGTAAATGATATAATTTAACATTTTATCCCCCAAAAAAGGATAAAAAAAAAATCCAAAACTTTCAAATCTCTTAAATGTTTATAAAAATATGTTTAACCTCCAAAAATTTCAAGTGAACAAGCTGGAAAAAAACTTCCAAAATGACACAGTTCTTACCTACCTTGTCTTTCTTATCTTGCCTGGCATATGGAAAACATGGAATTACAGCAGTCACTCTGGAGGATGATGCAATCTTGCAAGCATTGATCATGATGAGCAGTTCCATTAAGTTGTCATTTATTTCTCCACATCCACTCTGAATGATATAGACATCTTCTCCTCTCACACTTTCACCAATCTCTACACTGAAAGAGCAAGAGATGACCACTTAAATAGTTGAATTACTGGAAAAGCGTTGCTAAAGAAAAAACAGTTTTAACAAAATTTGATAGGTTCATCCGCAATTAAAGTACTTTTTTTTTTTATACAGCAATTTGGATAGCTGTCTCTTTGATACAAGTCTATTTCAATATAAGTCAGTCTAAAATTCAGCCTAAATATGGTCTTCGTAAGGTCAGCACCAACCAACATGTAATTATGGCTGCAGCACTGATGCAGCTCACACTGTTATTAAATTTGATACTGCTTTTTTTGGTTTAGTCTGTATAGTCTACGTTCTTGTCATCTCTCAAGAAGACGACCATTTAAAGAATAACCTAGATGGTAAATACAAAACAACAGAGCCAACTTTAGAGCATTAAATACTACCTGCATCAAAACACCTCCTTAAAAAGGGCAATTATTTTTCTATGATAGCTAGGGTTTTACTAAATTCGAGAAACTACTGCATTTTAGAAAAGGAAAGTAACAATCCACATCTCAAAATGAGAAGTCTGGTTAAAATTTGCACCATAATCTTCAAGTAAAGTGTTTTTTTAAAAAAGAGAATCTTAGAGAAAAAGCTAAGAGGGCTGGCTGCTCATCAACAGCTCCTGATGGCTCAACAACTCTTACGTTGTGTCAGTTGTTTCATCTGCTCTAACTGTGCTTATGTACTTGGGCTTCTTATATTAGTATATAAGAGTTATTTCATTTTTCCACAGATTTCAAGGCAAATTCTGGCACCAATCACTGCTCACACCAGAAAATTCAAAAATTTAGAGCTTATAAATAAACAGAAAAAGTTTATTTATAAGACCTTATAAATAAACAGAAAACTTAAAACAAATCAGTTGAATGTGGATTCCTTTTCAATTCTAGACCCAAGAAAAAGAAATCCACTGC